CTCATATGCACCTCTGAGAATCGATTCCACTTCCACACTCTCGTTGACCTCCGTTTTCTCGTTTTCGTCTCTTGACACTTGGCATGCCGTGCAAGATTCTGAGATCATTCTCAATAATTTTAGATCTTTCCATATGTCGATTATCTCTAATACAAGAGTGAAACTTGAGATAAAAGTTGAAATAATCTATAAAGACTTTTCATAGTAATATTTGTTTGAAATATCTACATAGATCACATCATCGAGCATTTAGCACTTCACATAAAATTTTACAATTTTTTATGCATAATATATACATTTGCATTCGACGTATATTGTTATACTTTACGGTAATAACAACGAATAGTTTGTTTGAAGAGATAAGAGCTGTATGCGTGTACGGTCGACTGTGCGCCGATAATTTCGGTCTGACGTTGCTGTCTATTTCTTCCATCACAAGAGTCGGCGGAGGCATTTAGCTTTCAGTTTCATTTCGATATTTATTTCGTCATCGCCGCATCGATACATCCGACCTCGAATGATTCAAGCGGGATGATTCAAGCGAAAAAGACCGACGAATAAAAACTATTTCGCTTCTCTCTGCAATTTAATATATCCTTATGAAAATATTCGTGTAAATATATTCCAATAAAAATCATTTTTTTATTTTTACAATTCTATGAAATATCTATGATTTAAAAGCATCTTTTATCTTTTTGTTTTGATTTTTTTAAAATATATTTTTGTGTGTAGACCTTTATAATTAAAATTCAAGAAAGTTTTAATATTTTATTCGATATATTTACACTATGTTTATTGTTGTAATCATGTTATATGTTATATGTCAATGCATATTGGCAAAGAATTCAAATTTTGCAAAACAACAACAGATTGTTAAAACAAGCCCGAGAAAATATGTAATTAAACATTAAACGCCTGATTAAACCTCAAAAGTGAAATCGTTCTCATGTTAATAGCGACTCAAAAATGAAATATGAAAATTTATGCGCACGCTTCATTTCTCCCGACGCATCGACAGCGCTTACAAAGAAAACCACCGCGTGCAGAAAAATAGTGAAACACGTCTCGCATTTCTGCACGTTTTGCCAGCATAAAATGCAACTGGTTCGCACGAATGCGTTTGTCGTCGGTGCGGCCTTTTTGAAGATATCGCACGTATGAACGAGCCTTTAAGAGTCCTCGTCCTAAGCTTAAGTAAGACAGAGAAAGGGGAGGAGAGGAGGAGAGAGAGAGAGAGAGAGACGGAAGGAAAAAAGAACAGATGCATTCCAACATGGGAAGGTGGGATGGATCCGTCTCTGATAACCCGCCCATCGGAATGCGTACCTCGTACACCTTGGTGTATTCTCCTTCTCGGTTTCACTACACACATGACCGCATCTACCTATCTACACGTACGTACACACGCGCGCGAATATATTCGGCAGTTATTTTTAGAACAATTCTAACAGGCGGACGTGTGGTGATGTTTCCGACACAATAACTGACATCCGGGGATTTATTGGTATTATAAATCGCGAGAGATCAAATTTGCGCGTGTCATCGATGAATTGAATTAATTGTTCAATCGCCATCGATTTTCTGACGTCATATATAGAACGAGTGTGCAGAATGCATCATGGAAAGCGAATTCAATTTATCTGCATTTAGGCGGATTAATAAAAGTCGTCAAGAGTAAAGACACGCCGCAATTCTCCCTTCTTTTCAGGAAATTAATAAAATCCGTATTCTAAAATTAGCAGTACTCATTCAAGCTTGAATCATGAATCAAACTGCGCGCTCATACAATATTTATAGAACGACGTAACGGTGTCTTTTAATTCCCTTTATTTCGTTAATTCTCAGAATACAGGAAGAGGGGTAAGGGTAGTAAGGCGAGGTAATTTCTTAATCCTTTACGATCGACGCTTCGCAGAAAACGATCGTTGCACCTCCGGAGACGGTATTCCTCTCGCGCGTTCATTCATCGGCTCTCGCGGCATTGACGGGCGTAATTATTTGCTGAATGGAAACGATCGCGGATGACGATGTGTCGCATGCATCGGGACGAGTTTTTGCCGTGCACCTCGATGCATTCTACCTCTCGGCTACCGCTGCGACACTCGACCGCGAGTGTACGTAACGATCGTAACGTCTTCGGGGGAAGCCTATTTTTAGACCGGTCCAAGACTATTTTTAGTAGCGGTCTGCCCACCGGCGGCTTAACCCTGACTTACGTTCGTGTCCCTACGTCTTCGTGGACACCGCAGGGACACCGTGAAGATCGGTGGACCATTAGGCGCATCAGCCGAAAGACACACGGTCGCCAGGAAATGCGCAACGCGCGAAACGCGTGGCATACTTTCCGGCCACTCGTCCAGATTTTTGACATTCAATTTTCTTCCTCCCCCCCTCCCGCCGCTGAAGCGCGCTCGTTCGTTATTTACGGCTCTTGTAAATTGCGATTCATACATTATTAATAATATTTACAAAAGCGGGACTAGTTTGAATTATTCGTAAGCTTTCGTATTCGTAACGACGTAAAATTAAATATTCTTTTGTATGATCAATTATTATTCGGATTAATATTTATTCGTGTACAAGGAGCAGTTCAATAATCTTTGGAAAATGCAAATATTCTTTAATAATATACATATATATAGACTAACGTGATCGTAACTCTCTAATCCTAAGAGATCATTTTGAAGTTGTGTGTTCTAGACTGTCGGAATTTATCGGAATCGAAGACGAGGCTGAACAGTAAAACTGGGTATTACGATCACACACAGGGCGATGACGCAAGCTTGCGAGCTTCTATTTGCGGCAACTACACGCGTAGATCAAACTGCCCTCTCAAGCTCATGTTCTGATTTCGCGTTGGTACGCGATGTTTCGCGCGAGTATGTTAAAGAGAGTGGACAACGAATATCGAATAGCGCATTTTAAAATAAACAAAATCTAATCTCAGAGAAATCTTAAATGAAATCTTAAACTTTAATGAGGATTAATAAAAATCTAAGAAAGTAACAGATGGGATTTCCAACCGTGGCACATAGAAGCCCATACGTTCTCGAAAGTGGCATTTTTATGGTTATAGGCCCTTCCACTTCCTTTCATCCGAGAAAGAGACTTAGGTCTCATTAAGTGAGAACGTAAAAACTTTCTTAATAACTTTCGAAACTCGCGTGGCGAAGATTAAAGAAGCACTTTCTGTGTGCGACGATAAAATACGTGAATCTAAGTAAAACTAATGGAGTTATCCAAATATTCATTCCACAGAATGCTTCATTGCTTCGTGATCTATCTAGAGATTATCTAGAGATTTGCGAGACGATACAATTAATTGTTTCAATTAATGCCACTAATTAATTATTTTCCCTTTCTTCTACTGTGATTTACAAAAGTGTAATCAATTGTATTTGCTTTTTTAAAAAATTACATATAATTACATATAATTACATATAATTATATAAAATTATATTTAATTAAATATAATTAAATATAAATAAACACCGCATTCTTGCTCTTGATGTTTATGTGTGTAGAAGCAAATATTCCATGCCTTTGATAAATTATATAGAAATATTTTTTTTTGTGATCGTGACTCTTCTTAACTCATTTATCAAAAGAATGACTTTGGAAATGATTTAAATAAATTATAATAAAAATTCGTTAGCGTAAATCCATTCGTAAAAATTATCATCACCTTTGTGAGATTTATAGAATGCGAAATATATATCGTGTCATATTTCTAACTGCCTAAGAAGCGACCCACTTTTCGAGGAGACGAACGAAATAAGATCTATTCCATCTGTATGTTTTATGGGCTGCTCCTGTTGCGCGACGTGCAATAAAAATAACGGCGATAAATTGCGAGATATATTTATAGAAAGAAGGTTCGTGGCCACCCTCGCACGATCACCTATAATTGGGCCAAAATTCATTAATTATTTTCGATCTTTTGCCAAAAATTACGACAGGCTCGATAACGAATGTTCGCGTGCGTCTTTTCTTATCGATTATCGTATATGCATCACGCAATGATGAAATAAAGCATCAGTCTTATCCGGTAATTAAACATTTAAATTTATCGCGTTTAACATCAACATGATTTTATAAAATCAAGCAATTTAAAAAAATAAATTCAATAGACATCTTTTATCTGACGTCATTTTTAATCATTTTTTATTTAATCATTTTAATCATTTTTAGTTATTCCAAAATATACATTTAATTTTCTTCAGACAATTTAGAATTTGCAGTATTTACTTTTGATTTTTACGGAAAAAAAGAACATTAAAATTACATTATTTGCATAAAACATTCCAAGAATTAATTAAATAAAATTTGGATTGAATGATAAAAAAAGTAATTTCTCATCTTTATATAATTACTTTCCAATAATATATTCAGTTAGTTCAGATAAACTTTTCGCTAATTTTTTTATTCTTCACATTATTCGACACACAAAAGATCTTTGTTAATTTTGTTTCATCATCATCATAATCACCGAGTCGGATCGTAATTAGCACGCTCGATAAGAACGCCGACGAAAGATCGCTTACAAAAAGAACCACTTGATTTTTTAATTTGGATACTTCTGTTTTCCCTCAACGTCTTCTTCATCCCATCATTTTTTTTGTCAACCGTCTCCCCGTCTCTGACGACGACACTGTCCCTAACGTGAATGAATGCACAGTGTCCGACATTCGAGGCGTAATAACGCGCGTGCACTTAAATATAGTGGCTCTGGGGTCTGGAGAAGAGAGAAGAGCTCTGATTCAGCAATGCATCTTATAAAAATAGATCTGAAATTCGAGACAAAAATTCTAAAAGTTGCAGCTAATTAAATCCTCTTTTATTGTTTATCTTTAAGTCAATATTGCGCACTTTTTACATTACACTTTACTTTTTATTACTTATACATTTTTATTATACACATAGATAACAATTGTTATCAGTGATAAAGATAGTTCAGATTTTTCTCAGCATATATTTGAATCAATCTACTTTGATTGCAGGTTAATAGCGGTTCTCCGGCAGAAGCTGCCGGTCTTAAAGCTGGCGATGCGGTTATCAAAGTCAACACCACCGACATGTATAATTTGAGGCACAAAGACGCGCAAGATGTCATAGTCAAGGCTGGAAATAATTTCGAAATAACTGTCCAAAGGTGAGACATTTAAACACAATAAAGTTCAACAAACGAATGATTCAGTATTTAAAAATATATCATTTTACAATCTCGGAGAACACGTCAAGCGTTAATATCTTTAATCTTCTTTTCGTTATTTACCTTAAAAAGATATTATCATGTTTATTAATTATTATACACGTAAAATTCTAGAATAAAACAAAATATCTACTTATGTAAAGTTTTTGTTTTCGCAGAAATCGTCCAATTTTTCTTCTTCCGAACGAATTTATATTATTCTCGCAATACAAATGGTTATGGTTTTACTAAGGAAACTGCAACTGATGTATAATTCGAAGCCCACCGCCGACGTTTTTTAACGAGCGATAAATTATCATTACAGAGGCGGTAGTACCTGGAAACCGCATGTGACGCCCGCAACCGCAAGCCTGCCATCTCCGATGCACACCGCATCCGCGGCTAACATCGCGCCGGTCACAAAGACCTCTTTGGCAGCGAAAAAACAGGATGGACCCCTCATCGGCAGCGGACACAACTTCAGTCCCAAGCCATTCGTTAGTATCAACCGTTAATCCGCGTCCGTCTGCCACGCCGATTTCGCAACAAAAACACAGAAAAGGCAGTTAGTTATTTATTTTTCTACACCGGAACGCAATAATTTTCAGCTGAACGGCACCGGCGACGGTCCAATTAAGTCTATCGTGAACAAACAGTACAACAGCCCCGTGGGGATCTACAGTGAGGAAACCATTGCGGAGACACTGTCCGCTCAAGCGGAGGTCCTTGCCGGTGGTGTCCTTGGGTAAAATCACGAAATCGGATGTAGAAAAGAGGAAGATAGTTGGTGACGGGATTAAAATCGGTGCTTTTTAAGATCATTTTCGGATTGAAATTTCGGATCAAAGTTATAACAAAAATTATAATCGTTGTCAAAAAATGATTTTCCGGATATTAATATTGCAGTAATTAAATAAAGCTATAAGAGTTTATAAAAATTTATATTATTAATTGTTTGATTAATCAATTAATTCCGTCAACAAATATTATTGATCTCGCCAGTATCTCCTTAATAAACGTAAAAAAATTTACTTATGATACAAACATTGCAGAGTGAATTTCAAAAAGAACGAAAAGAACTACAATGCTGAGAACAGCGAGGTTTTCAAAATGGTACAAGAAGCGGACAAGGAACCAAAGACGCCAGAACCTGGTTAGTAAAATTCATATTACTGACACGTGGCACAATAATTTCTCTAAAAATTCAATATTAAAAATTATTAATATTAATATATATATAATTATTCTAATTATACATGCATGTAAATACACATGTAAATTATATGAGATCGTTGAAGAACGTTGATTAAATGAAATTTATGAACTTTCAACTATTAAAAATCAATTAGGATGCAACTTAAGTAGTCTTTTCCAAATTTTCAAAATATTAATAACTTCAAAATGTTTCAATTTCAAACTTTTGAAATATTAGATTTTCAATAAAATCTTCGTAAATAATTTATTATTTATTCCATCTATACATTAATAACTGCAATCTCTCGATTTAAAAATGTATTCTACACGTAGAAGAGATTTTGTAAATTTACGTAAAATACAAGAATAGACAGAATAGTCTTCTTTATTTATAATACGACTATTCTCTTTGAAATTTATTTAAATTTCAATTACTCATATGCAAAACCGATGCGTTCTTCGGCGACTGATCAACTGGGCCAGAATCGGTTCCAGCCAACCTGTTGCATGCCGATACGATAACTTGTTTGCGAAATAGCGGAGCCAAGTGCCGTGAGCGGCGTGATAACGCCGTCCTCGCCCGCCCTGGCAGGATTGAGGCCCGTCCAGGCGCCGGAAACGAAGCCACAATCTCCATCGACGCCGCAAACAAGCCTACCACCAGGACAGAACATTTGCGCCGAGTGCGAAAGGCTCATCGTGTAAGTTTACGTGATCGTGGACGCGTTTCGGCGCATCTCTTTTATTTTCAGATTCTAGACACCGACGAGAGGAGATAGAATAGTGCCAAGAGTCACGATCGCGTTCATTTCTACGATGACAGCCAGTTTTTCACTTGCGCACGGAACGTATCGAATATCGTGTGGATTTCCAGTTCTCAGATTGGAACCTTATGACGATGCAATCTTATAAGGCTTATATCGATCTGTTTAATTTTTATATCGATTTATTCTTAAATTAATTTTCTGCATGAAATAAAATGTAGGAAAGCTTTGGATTTTTTTTTTTCATTAATCACGTTTTAATCTGAGAACACGGAAACTCGCATAGATTGGCGAACGCGATCGCCGAGGGCCTTCATCGAACAGTCATATTCGATCCGACACTTTCTCGATGCTGCCCTGTCATGGCGCTTTTTCTCTACTTCCATGTCGTAGTTCCTTCAAGAACAGAGTTTTACTCCTCGGTGAGCCACGCGGTTGGCGGGAGGGCTACTTCACCGAGGTCACCTACGCCTCTGTTTCATGCTATGGGCGGTAGTGGTGGCGCACCTGCCGATAGCAGGCACTTTGTATGGATGGACGAATCCGGGAGGAATCGAGAAGCACAACCGCAAAAGCAGGAATCCGCCGGCTCGGGGTCGTCGACGCCGGGCGGGGTTGTTTGTAGCAACTGCGACCGAGTGATCGTGTAACTATTTACGAGCGAGACTCTTGCCACCCCCTGTGCACGAGACGGCCGCGGCGGGTTTCGTTTTGGCGTTTTCGAGACGTTTTCGTACACTGAGAGCGATTCTAAAAGTTATTAATTGTAGTAGTCCAGATTTTTAGATTATAAATCACAACAAATATCTAAAAAATCTGTTCTGACCAAAGCTACTTATTTATTTTAAATTATATAAAATTACATTAATAATAAACTTGCAAAAATTATTCATCAACGAATTAATTATTAATAATTTTAATAAATTTCGTCAAATTAAATTTGTCAATATTAAAATGAATATTATTGTAGATAAACATTTTCTAACGAGATTTTTTTTTCGGTTAACATATGTTAGTCGTAGTTGCTTGCTTAGAATACCAATAATACCAGTAATATAATAATAAAAATTATATTTAATAAAGATATAATTCGCAATCTTATTGCTCTCAGTTCAACGAATCATATGCCTCGTACGATCGTCAAAAATTCCCGAAAATGACGCCGTCCTGAATTGCTCGATTGTCGTACGCTAGTATCATCTTGAAGACTTCGATTCGAAGAGAACATGTGCACGTTCCTTTCTCTTTCTATAAATGTTTAAATTATTTACAAAAAAAAAAAATATAAAAAATTACTCACAAAAATGCAGAATTGTATTATTAATAACCGATAATAAACGATAATAAATAACGATAATAAATAAAATAAAAAATCGTACAAATGATATAAAACAGTTATAGTTACAGTAGTAACTTGTAGAAATTACTTCACGCAATAAGAGAAACGCACAAGTGTCTCATTGATGAATTCGGAGCATGCCTTTCTCTGCCGCCTCTTTTCGTCAATATCGCTTCTTCAAGAAGCACTTTTGTTATTGCTCTTATCTCTGGACGAATTTTGATCATATGTGAGCATTCGAACTTACAGCTTACAACCTACTGGAAGTCGTATCTGGGCGAAATAAAAATTTCTCATTCGCTCGCAGCTTGAATGCAGCCCTATCTAAATGTCTCTTTATTCTTTGCACTCTTAATAGCACTTTTCGCACATTTACAGCACACTGAATGATAACGTATAAAAAAACCGCTTTCGATGTTGTGAACATTTTTGTGGATTTTTATGTCGTATTTTTTTTTATCGTATCTTTAAGCAGAGCCTTTTTGCAATATTTTTCGATGTCTAATTTTTTTCGTGCTAACGAATAGTGGAAAATAATTTTTTGCACATGAAATTTATTTAATTATTATTATAGATAATATTTTACGAGGCTCTTTAAGAAGATACTTAAAATTACACTTGATTTTTCGTTATTTTTTTGTAAACGTAAAAATTATATTAAAATATATTCGTTTTTTTCTAACGATCGCAATTTTAAAGAAATACATCATTACGAACGTTACAATCACAACATTACATTTCCAGCATTTACACATATTATTTACACATATTATTGTTCATCTAGTTTTAAATATCAGTTATTTTTTATACTATATTTTTTAAAACATTCACTCGGCTACAAAAATCAATTTTATGCGCATTCTTTGTAGCTTTACCCATCTCATCATTCCCATTTCGGAGATAATTTTTTCTCATGGAGATCATAATAAAAATAATAGTTATTCCCGGCCTCCTTCGTCGAGGTATCGAGTTTCCTATGTTTCGTTCTCTCTTTTTGCTCTAGTGAATGGTAATAAAGTTCAAAACTCGTGGCACATCCGATGCGTCGTTATTTCACCTTTATTGTTATTATGTTAATTAAAGAAAATTAATTTAATGCACGAAAACGTAAAATGATCGCGTTATTAACTTATTTATTATCCTTCAGAGGTGTCTTCGTCAGAATCAAGGAGAAAAACCTTCATGTGGAATGTTTCAAGTGCTCGACCTGTGGCACGTCCCTGAAGAATGTCGGTTATTACAATATCAACAATAAATTATACTGCGATATTCACGCGAAACTCGTCGCCAGGCAAAATGCTCCGGCCGGTCTTACGCCCATCACTATACCACCGTAAGTTATACAACTTATATAATATTTTATTTATCTTGGACTTTTAAAAATTTAATATAGAATTTTATTAAAGAAAAACATAAAGTTAAAAATAAAATTATGATGTAAAATAATTATATAAAGCGGAAATAAAATAAAAAAATAAAAACAGAATAACATGCGAGGATAGATGCAAATAAATAAACGAGTAAATTTAGACGATATCGAAATACAAATAATTGACAAAATATATCCTTTGCGATTCGACAGAGGTGGCAAAGCACCAGCTAGCACCATCAGTGCGGCATTGGCGAATGCACCTTTATCGCCACCCCTCAGCAATCATGGATCGTCGCCTCAGCCATTCTCCGTGAGTTGCTTCATCATAATTTGATTCTCTTTACGAGGCATGGTCACGGGCAAATTTTTTCGCGCACGTATCTTCTTGCCTGTTTTGGCATGGCTTATGAAGCAAGTATTTTGCATTGATCGTGTGGCTTTGCTGCACTCGCGCGTGATTTCACGGCGTTTCTTATAGTCGCGAATCAAGCGAAGGTCGTGGCAAAATTTCTCGCGCATTAACCATTTCTTTCTCGAGTCATCTGCGAAATAATGATCATGTAATACAATAATAGTGTCATAGTTGTAAAAGATTTAAATTAAAAAATAATTTTAATGATTAAACAGAAAAAGAATATGTTGAAATATTATCGTATCGTATCGAATATTCAAAAACGTTTTTTTGTGTATGCGCTATATCTTATTAAGATGATTACAATTTTCATTACATTCTTATAGAATTGACAAAAATATTATTAAAACGATTGATTGAGGTTTTAAATTTTCTTTAAAATAATAAAATATCACAAATTTAGTACATAATTTCATCGTGTGTCGGAAAAAATGTGTTTACGACATTTGCGCGCTTATCTTGAGAGTTTAACAAGTGTGGTCCCTGCTTGGCACTAATCGCTTTTCCAGGCGTGCAATCGTACGAGCCCCGATTCCGGATCCCATCATACATGGCGATCGACTTCAAATGGAACGAACGGATGCATCAGGAATGGCGAGTGCAACGGCGAATCCAAAACGTTCACGAGCACGATCACCATCCAAACAGGTGGCACAGAGGTTGGCAACGTGCTCGAAAACTGCATTCGCTCTTGCTAATCTATCCTTCATCTTACTTTCCTTGCGTGAATCATCATCAAATCATCATCAAATAACTGATATATAATTGATAAAACTGATAAAATACGCATAGAGTTTATTAAAAGTTATATAAAGACACAGTCATTCTAAATGTTAATATTGCACATTATAATACAAGAAATAGAAAAATATGTATACATATATAAATTCTGAACATTTTTGTTAGTTTATGGGAAACATTTATCTCAAAATTTTTGCTAATAATTGATACATTAATGATTACTTAAGAATTATCGATTGCAAATCAAATGTTATTACGAAACTAATTGATCAGTCACTAGTTTATTATTCCACTGGTGGACCTTGAATCAGTTTCCTCGTTGTCTCTAAGTCGACTACCTAATTATATTATATCACTATCTGTGCGACTGACTGTTTCAATCTCATGACTAATCGGCCTGTCGTAATCGTTCCTGTCGATTCGTCTTTTCGTCCCTCTTGCTCTCTCCCACCCCGTTTTTAATTGCTCGTCCCACATGACATCGTTGTGTCGTTTTATGCATTGCAGTCCACCACCCGCCTTGGCTCCTCGCCCGTCGATCCACCGAGCTTACGATCAGTTCAGGTAAAGTCCCAGCACGATTCGTAACGTTTTCTTTGATCTCTGCTCTCTCTCTCTCTCAAAATCGTCAGTATTTTCCCAAAAAAGATCGACGCTGTGCGAGATATCGTTGCTTCGATTAAACGCCATAGAAATAAATTTGAGTTTTTATCAAATCTGTACGACGTAACTATAAAGTGATATTCGATCAGTACGATTGGAAATTATTAATTTTAGAGCTTCGATTTATTTCGATTAGTGTATCTTGATATATCTTTCTTAATTTATAGTCATAAAAATATAAAACATTAAAGCTTAAAATTGCTAAACTATTTTTCTCTTTCTTATATAATAAATTTTTAATTTAGGATCTAAATTTAAATTTGAGTTAATACAAAATGCAATAGAATTTTAAAATAATTATCGATGTAAAGATTATATGTTTATTGTAATTTACTTAAAAATCTATTAAAATTACATTTGTGTAAAAAAATAATAATGAGCTAATAATGTTTGTATAGACAGACAGTTTTTAAATAAAAATATAAAAATTAAAGTAAATAAACTTTTAAAACGGACAACTATTCTCGTCTCATATACATGTACACGTATGCAGCAATTAATTATCTTCAAAAACTTCATATGCTGATAATAAAATTGTGTGTAATTGCTCGCATGTGACCTTCGTAGCAGAGCTTAAAATAACAATTTTAAGCACGGGAGGAGTACAGTGTTCCTTGAGACTTTGTGATATGGGTCACTGATTAACCTATCGCACTTTTGTATTAACAGGCATTATCAAGACAGCGGAATCTCGCATGTTTGACTATTTTTGGCACTGACAACCTTTTGTAATCTGTTAATTCTATACTTGTGATTTAATTTTACATTTTATCTCTCGTCATTCAGAAGAATTATTTTATTTGACTCAAGAATAATCCAAACAAACAATTAATAATTCTGATGTAAAATAAATTACTACATTAAAGTATCGTTTTAAACGCAAAATGTTCCATTTTTTATACGAGAAATTAGATAAAAATTTATATTATAATAGTAGTAATTAAAGCGAAAAATATCTAAATTTACAGATACCAACGAGCAATAATCTCATTGGTCCTAAACCCTTTGGTGGATCGAGTGGCTTTTCATCAAATTTGTCTTCGGCTCCGACATTAAATTCCGGAAGCAGTACCTTGCCACGTCCTCAAAGCCAAACTGTGACAGGTAAGTTAAGTTTATTATTAATATGAATGGATTCGGTGCATTAATTAATGTAAAAATACGAAAATGACAAAAACTCGTTTTAAGATCTATCTATATATTTATGTAATTCAGATTACGTAATGTCGCATAAAAACATTAATCACAAATACAAAAAGAAAAATTAAGGTAATGTAATTATTTTTTAATTTTTAAGTGTCTAAAGATGTATTAAAATTTCTATTTTCTGCGTCAAATCGAAATATTCATTCTATGAGCAATAACAGGTAGAGAAAAACAATCCTCCTTTCTTCATCTTTTTTTTTTTTCATCTGGCGGAAAAGATTTCATTTGCGTCAATTTTACGCAATTATCTAAAAAATATGAAGGAGCGATCTCGTAATCGATTTAAGATAATCGCAATCTCGCCTTATGCGTCCTTGGCCTAACTCTGCCTTCGATTCTTGCAAATAGGTCGGTATTCTACCCTGCCAAAGCCAAAAAGTTCGCCTTTCAGAGGTACGACGAATAGATTAGAGCCGCCGGTTGACCGAGTTTCGAGCTTTGGCTGATACGCCTCCTTTGGCTTACGTCCTCACATTTTATATCGCTCTTTTTCCCTTGCACGCAGCTCGCGTATACACATATGTATATCCTTATATTGATCATTGGTCTTCATTGGCCCATACATCATAGTCTCTTTAAATAGTGATAGGGAGAGAGGGAGGTTCTCTTCGACCATCTCATCTCATTCGAAATTTTCATTCTCGGCTCCTTATCATTCGTCGTTATCTCGATGACGACGGCGAACTCTGAGAGCTATGACAGTTCGTAGCGACCTTCCAATATATGCGCTTTCATCCCTTTTTACAATTCAAAAGCTTGCACGATGCACTCGGAAAATTATTCAAAAAATAGTAGTAAATTATTTCAAATATATTTTTAAGAAGAAATACGTAGAAATTGTTTATGGAAAGATAAACAAGTCTAATATTTATAATAATACACAAGTGCACAATAGAAAAATAATTTTTCTTCTTTTTCAAGTTTTATATTTTTCTTTCTATATTAAAAGTTTCATATAATATTATTTTCATAGTAATGAAATTTCATATTATTAACATTATTCAAAAAATATTGAACATTTAATAAACTCCATCAGCAGTTTCTGGTAGCAACTTTTCTGGAAAACGTTTAGATCGATCCCCGTGTCTATTCAAGAAATTTCACCGTTATCGTAACCTCTCTTTCCGCACATAATCTTTCTTTTATCTTTTTTCAGCCGGTCCGTCTTTCAACCCGAAACCCAGACCTTTCTCCCTCACATTCGCATGAATCAATAGCTCTCAATGGCGCCGTCGTCGTCTTCATGTTGGCAACCGAAATGCAAACACGATCCAGATGATAAAAGTGCCAGATTATTGAAACCGATTTCACTACTCACGATTTTGCTTTCAAGTTTTATAGAAAAAGGCTTTTCAATAATTATAAATAATATCAATGAGAAAAAAAAATTATCTTTAATTATATTAAAGACAATTGTCTATCGGTATCTATCGGATTATCAATATAACATTACAATGTTTATTATATTCTGATGATATTCGAAATTGTTTTTGTGTGATTATATAATTTCTTCTAAGAAAGAAAATCGTGAAAGAATATAAAGATTTAATGATAATACCAAAGTGTTATTCGATGACAGTTTGTATTGTCATCAATTCAGGATAAATTAATGCAAATGCAAAATAAAATATAAGTTCTTCATTGAATGAATGTATCTACTTTGATATTTTTACTGCGCCACTCGTTTCAATCAATACTCGTATTGACACTTACATTTTTCTTCGCTTTGCATCGATGATATCATATATTGAAATATCGATGCTAATACACACATTATCGTTGCAGAATCCTTTTGTTACTTACGACCGATTTGAAAGTGATATAATACACGCAGACTCGCAGCATTCACGCTGCTCTAAAGTTAAAAATACCGAATGCTAAATAATTATCATAGAATGATTTAAATGATAACGATTAAAAAAGATTTCTTTTCAAGGATTAAATCTTTAATTAAATGTTTTATAATTTTGCTTCTTTTTCTTAATTTTGCATACCGAGCTGTGCTCGTGGTCCTCTTTCGTCGAAAAAATATCACTAAATTAAAAGAAAATTCTTTAACTAAGTTAATATTCTCGATTCCTCTTTATCACTCCTTAAAGGTTTAAAATATTAACAAAATATTTTAGAAATAAAAAATTACAAGTTTTATAAATTTGTAAAAAAGATAGGCAAATATTTTAGGGCACATTTGTACATACAAATATGTTATGGAAAATATAATAAATATTTTATTATATATA